CAACATTGAGTGAGCCAAGCCAACACATCTTCATTCGTCAATCACTTGTATGAAATATATTCCAGCCGAGCGAAACAAATTAATTAGCTATTAGTCGGATTAGTTGGGAAGTGGGTCACCAAACGTATTATACAGAAAGATAGTCTGGATCCATTCGCAATTGGCTGTCAATAGCAGTAATCAGCTTCGCGTGGAAGGGAAACACATTTATACAAAACATTTTGTTCCGTACCCAATATTCTCACCCTTATTATAAATATTAGACTGATGTTTCCAATACATAAATGTAGATCCATAATAAATAACATTGATTCAAATGAATGGGAGCGACTAATGTTTTCCTTGTTCAATAAAAAATATTGATTTATTTCTAACGATATGTATCGTGTCGCGTTTGAAATTAAACAATTACACTGGTATTAGGTAGCCCGACAAGATAATAAAATTGATTAATGGTGTAACTTGTACGATATGTGTTAAACTAGTTCTGTTCAGAGCGCTACAACGAACGCAGTGCAATTGTTAGCAACAAAGTTCCGACAGCTGTCGTTTCAATAGACTGCAAAGATACATTTTACAGAGCAAGCATTTTAAATGTTGACAAGTATGTTAGTTCTTGCACAGCGTTGAGCCTAACAATGTTTGTGACCTAGAACTGCACAACAACGGTATATTTGAACTTTGAAGTGAACATGAACTCCCAGAAGCGCGCTGAAGTTACAAAGTAAATTGAATTGTAATCCGAGCGGCGCCGGCGTAGGCAGATGAGAAGTTAATCCGAGGACGCCTAACGCAATTATGATATGTTAATTTCCCTTTGTTATTGCTTCGCCCCATCGCTAATGGCGTTACGAAATGTTTGCCCAATACCACTGGATATAGCCATTGTTATACAGTTTTTGTTTCGTGTCTTGTAACCTGCTTGTTCCAGTTTTCCCTTTTGCCCGACACTCCCTGAATGGCAGTGGGTTGAAAGGGGACACATGTCACTATCGACGGGGCTACACATCCCCTGAATACGAAATTACCCGGGTCAGTGGTAACAGGCGAGTTCAGGAACACTGCTTGTTTGGGCCGAGCCCCTAGAGTCCACTAGAGCAGTTTGGAGCAACGACCGCGAACCAACCGTTTACGGGTTTATCAAAAACCGAGTATTCTTTGTTTTCACGTATTTTTATTAGCTGCAATTCAAATAGTCTATTCAAATAAAGTCAGAAAAAAGGTTAGTGATATTTACTTATTTGAAAGCCCGTTTCTTTGAGTGCTAATTAAAAATTCAATTAAGATCCGACTCCCACACGATGTTCAATGTTAATTATATGGCATTAAACACTGAGATATTACTGCGTCAATGTAAGCATAAATCGTATACACAATTTAGCAAGTGTCGTAAATTACTCTTAAAACACAAAATGGTAAAATTGTAACGGGCAGCTTTTAGTTGTCTGACATTAACAAATACCTAAACGTTCTTACAATAAATGAGCGACAAACTTGGCAAAATTAATTGTGCGCAATGTTCTGCATTTCGGTCTTGTGTTGTTGTTGTTGTTTACAAATAAGTAACATAGCATTATATCACATCTGAAAAGGCGTGAAGAACAATTATGTATGTCCTAGGGCCCCGGCCTGGACCAGAAGAAGGAACGATTGTCTTTGGTCAGAAAGAGTCTGACACTCTCTTGTGCCACCCAATCCAATCTAGAGAAGGCATTTGGCAATTTTCCTATTCCCGAAGAGAAAGAAGAAACGCGTAACATTTACATACATATCACAATAATACTATACTTATTTAGTTATATTATAAATCTAATGTATTATGGAACTTGAAATATCATATTGTTCGGTAAAGACTAAAGAGGCAATTACATACGAAAAAATGTAAAGTGAAAATATCTTGTACATAATATTAACAGCACAAATAATACCAATGTAAAATTGCTGGTCCATTTTCATTCCAACAGTCATTCGAGACAAAATACGAGTACATATCATGGCGTCGTATTATTGACATCGTCTCCACGCTTCAGTGACTTCTTATCTAAAATTAAAAGAGCGTTTAATATTTCCTCTAAATCAATAACGCCCACGCTTCTAAAGGTCACTAACGCGTAATTCAATTGACACGATATTAAATGATATGACGTTTTCTTTATCACATAACGTAATTACGGTATAGATTTTAAAAAGTAATGGTTTCAGACTATCCGTCAATTCGTGTTTATATGTTTATCACCCCCTTTGCTTTGCAGTGCTTGACTGCAATCCCATCTGATGGTAAGCAGTGATGCAATCGTTGATGGTAAGGCGCGCTAGTTTATTAAGAGCATATTCACTCTAGCCTTGAAGACACCTAAACCATAATATAACCTCTCACGCACTATAGGTGAACCTATTTAGAAACTTATCTGAACTTTAAAAAGGTCTGAACACGTAAAATAAACAATGAGATCCTAGGTCAGCACAGCGAACACTAGAAACCGACACTAGAACAGGCCATTACAACAATTTAAGCTTCATCGAGTCGTAATAAATGTAGTACCATGTAAATTGCGTTGTAAACATGTTTGTTGTAGCGATGGCGCTGTGGATGCAAGGCGGCCATTGTCAACAAATTGTATGTTTGTCTTCTGTATCAGCCGGCGGCCGGTCGACCGACACAGCTGCACAGATTGCGATAATATCGTCACTTGTTTATTTTCCCTCTCTGTCCTCTCACATTGGCCTTCCCATTTACAGCGTGCATATGTGAAGTGAACTCACGTAAGCGGAACACTATTTATAGAGAACATTCCGCGAACAAGACTATCCCAATGAGCTCGTTAATTGTTGCCCGCCAGTAAATACGAACCATTGACAGAGATCGTTCCCGCAACGTATGCAGACATTGCAGCTATTTGCGTTTATCCACAAACGAGGAATAAAATTAAGGTCAAGACCAGTACAAACACATACAGTTTCAAAGACGTACGACGAATTTAACCGTACTGTGATGACAACTATTTCTGATTAACATTTCCGTTCCCAGCACTGTCTATCAATCTGATTTCTGTTTACATCAAAGATAAATAGTTTTGTTTTGGAATTCGGATATAAATTTCAATGAAACATTTCTTTGTGTCATTTGAATGGCAGAAGACGCAATTCAATGTATAATTTGGATGAAAAAGCAGCAATTCGAAACGATACGCATTTACACTTGACAGAGCATGTCCTTCGATTTGGAATCTTGATCATAAAAGATATTCACGTTACGGTTGGCAGGTTTTCGACGTGCTCCTAGCTACCTAATGCCTACAGAATTCGAACGAATTAGAACGTAGATTTAGGAACGCAAGAAATCTTTACTTGTTTGAGTTTGGCGCATCAATGTAAATTAGAAACAAGTAGAACTTTCCGTCGATGTGGAATCCTGCCCCATTTCTCGGAAAATTGGCACAATGGCAATGTTAGTAGATTATATCATTCACATTCGCGTCACAGTTTCGGTTATTCATGGGCTCGAGGAGGCGGATATGTCCTTTCGATAATGTACAGATGACAGCAGTAAACGTGACGCGTGTCTGAAACACTACCCGCGCTGAATACAGATAGCTGTGTCTCATCAGCCCCAGCCTTGCGGCCTGCGGTCAGACCGCGGGTGTTGATTGCTTGCCTCTTATTATCATTTCGCGGTCTACTTATGTAAACGTTATAATGGACGAAATTCTCAACACAAACAGATAAACAATCATTCAACAAAACTACTTCACTCTTCATTTATTTACTGCATTACCTACACTAATGATAAACTTGTCCTCTGATCTAAAAATAAAGTAACATGAAAACAAATTAGTCGTATCTAAAAATTAGAACAGTTATTAATACAAGTCTAAATGCAGAGCACTTGAGCGCCAAATTATTTCTGGAAACGTTTGGAATTGAAATAACTTCTTAAAAATGTCTGGAGACGCTCGTCTCGCAAAATTATCTAGAGTTGTGGGAGACCGGCGTGAGACGTGCGAGTGAGGGCAACATTCCATGGCCTGGTGACCTTCAATCGACGAGGGAGGGCCACCCAGGATGTCACTAGGGGCCATGATCACAAAGAGTATATTTAGCTGTCTCCTTTGATGAGGCAATGCGCAGATAAGCGCGTATCGCGACATGCTCCGATGATCGTGCCCTCGTACGACCAACACGAGCATACAGACCTGCCTTATTAATTAAAAATAAATCATTAAATATTCAATGTGGATGACACAAGAGACACCCCTAGGCTTTCGACCCAGTTTAAAATAAATAAACGTGACCCTATCAGCACGTGATATTAAACTATGTAGTGCTTCTTGAACGTTGATTGACCTAATTTATGTTAGAGATATCAATCACTTAGCTTCATGTTTCAATAAAGATTTATTTAGTATGTTTTTCACGGACAGTAAGCTTCGGTACGGCTGCTGAAATGACCAATTAAATGTTATTGTTGTACGGTGGCCGTAAATTGGCAAGTCAAGGTGGCGGAATATTTGTCTGTCGTGGGCGCGGGTCGTTGAGACTATTTGTGACTATTTTTGGTTCAGTTTTGTAGATGTCTCTGTTTTTTTGGACTACACGAGTGAATGTAGTGTCATTATGGTTTCAGCTACTACAGGTTAAAACGCACCTTCCTGACAGAGAAGAAAAACAAACCAAGCAAAAATTATGAATCTATACTAATATTATAAAGAGGTAAAATTTGTAAGTTTGTATGTAGGGGGTAATCTTAAGAACCGCTGGTCGGATTGCCAAAATTCTTTCACTGACAGATAGTTGCAATGCTCCTGAGTGCTATAGGCAAAACATCACGCTGCGATCAAATGGAGCCGAGCAGCGTTTGAAACCGCGTGATAGTACCTAGCTAGTCCTTAATAATAATAAAGACGAATAATTGGTATGTCTATCTATTTCACAATTTATTTATCTTCAAAATCATCAGCACCTCTTCTATGTATATGAAATAAAAAAGGTTTTACACTTACGCAATAGCATCGATCATGTCGAGCCCCATCTCGACGGTGCACCTTCCGTGGTCGGACCGCGGCTCGGGCAGTCCTGACACGCAGTAGTAACAGTCGCCGAGGATCTTGATTCGGAGACAGTGGTTATCCTGAACAACAAACGAAGAAAATGATTTTGTGAGAGGTATAATTAATGATACACGAGTGCAACGATTTTTTTGTCTGAATCGAGCATTTTCGTGATGATTATGTTTATGCAAATTCTTTACAATATCTGTAATTGCTTTATTCAAGTTATTTGAATATATTATTAATTACTATTCAGTCACAAATAAATAAAAAAATCCCAAAGATAGTAAAGCCACCGGCTACACCTTTGACAAACTTAGCCACAACAACCGCATATTTGTGTAAACAAAAACAGACTCTGACGTAAAATAAATACCGATGATTATTCATTCAAAGGGAAATCCGTAGTAAAGAACTATGGAAGGTATATAAATTATTAAAAACTGTTTCTATGAAACAGAAGAATAAACAATATTATTTCCAGTAAATATGAGATTTATTACTCACACACCTTTATTACCAAAATCAAACATGAATTATACTTTCTAATTATAGGTTTGAAATCGCCAATCTTCCCCGCATTGAGCAAACGTGGTGATTGATGCTTAAACCTTCTCCGTGTGAGAAGAGGCTTTTGCTTAGCAAAGGGCACTTGTAAGCTGATGATGATTTTCTTGAAGATGGTTTCGGTTCCAAAATACCACAGGCAGTTAATTCCCTATTTTGGTTGAGCTACATATTTAATAATTGTAATATTACTCACATTGGCGAGTTGATCGAATCGTCCAAATAGTTCGTTGAGTAGCCGCACCAACTCCTGGGCGCTGCACTGCGACGCGAGCACGGTAAAGCCCACTATATCAGCGAACAGGATACTAGGGAGAAAAATAATTATAACTTAATAAAAGGAAAAACTATTAGCCATCTTAAATCTGCTTTATTATACGGGAAAAATATTACGTTCTTATTTCTAATATTAAAGATGAAGAAGAGAACTCTTATGGCATATTTTCTCTTTAAAATACATTATTCTCATAGTATTCATATAAAAACTAGCTGACACCCGGCAAAATTTGTTTTGGAAAATATATTTTTTATAAAAAAAAAAATTAATGATGACAACCCTTATCACCTATGGGTATGAAAAAGATCCAGTAGCCGATTCTTAGGGCTACCGAATATGTATATAAATTTTGGATTTTCGGAGGAATATGGTAATTAACATTGTGGCACCAGAGTTTTAAATAAAAGACGATATCGTACAGTCGTTTAGTTTTTAATTTAAAAATGGAATGATAAACAATTAAGCAAATAAAACTATCTATTTAAAAATGGATCCGTTCATACATACAACATCAAAACTATGTTAGTACTTAAGCCCCGATATACTATGTGCATACAAGCCGAACCGACAGGATAGGAGTAACGACAACTTTCCACTTACTGATTAATTTAATGAAAACTCTCTTCAGAAACGAGGCTGGCAACATATTGCAGTTTTAATCAAATTAACTTGTTTCTAATTTTGTATTACACTTTAATTCAGATCCCGTTGGTAACTCTCAATTAATAAAAAGTTCATAATATTGTACTTGTCTCTCATTTACCTACTTTTATGATGGAAAACTGCTTTATACAAAAAAGAGCTTTATTCCAATCATACTTAACACTACTTGTCTTAAATGAATTATTGTTATTTTCAATCATTTTGGAGATTCTAATTGGAATACGTAAGTTCGAAAATGGCTTATCATATATATATATGAATGTGTAGTTATATAACCAAAACCCAGACGATAAAGAAGAAGAGAGATCTTAACTCCGAAAGAATGATTAACTAAACTACATATTACTAATACATAAAGTACGTCCATATCACTGTAAATTTACATAAGCCTATCATTAACTAACAATGCAAAATTCCAAAGAAACTATAATGAATTTACTTTATACATAACTTTGTCGATAAATAGGATAGTGGTACAAACGATTACTGTTCCCATTATCCTAAATTATCGCGTGCAAACAGCCTGTATAACGATGTTTATGCGCGCCCTGTACATAGGGCCATTGTACACAATATGATAGACATTTATGGACATGTTTTTTATTGTATTTTTGTATTTTATTCGTGTTTTGTTGTTGTTGTTGCGTGCGGAACATTGCAATACATACTTAGAATGAGATGGCACAGATAAGTTGCTGAGGTAGGTAGTTGCACGTTTTTTATTTATTTAATAGATCGGCAAACTAGCAGACGCATTACGTGATGGTAAGTAATCAGCGCCGCCCATGGACATCCGCTTCTGAGGAGTTACGAGTGCGTTGCAGACCTTTTATTGATTAGGGATTTGGAGATTTAGGGATTGAGGAGGGATTGGGGGTGAGGAAGGATTGGGCTTCCGGTAACCTCACTCACACGGCGAAACACAACGCTGTGGTTGTTTCACGCCGGTTTTCTGCGAGGCCGTGGTATCACTCCGGTCGAGCTGACGCATTCGTGCCGAAGCATGGCTCTCCCACACTTCAATGTGTTTATAATTTGATCATTGTTTATTTGGATGAGTGACCATAAGTTAAAAAGTTTAAAGAAAGGTACCTACATAATAGATGTTTTAAAAATCCGGAGGTTATTAAAAGAAAACGTAAACTATGAGCTCTAAAGTAACTTTAGTTAGTTTTAAAACTGCAAACATATATTTTTGTTTCAATGTCATCATTTTATTGGTTTCCAATAGTTAGGGATCAAAAAAATCGTCAGAAAATCCAAGTAGAACGTACCAAAGCTTGACTGAAAGCAATAATGAAGTGCTGAGGTAGCAAAAGTAATAACTAGGTCCTTTCAGACTCCTTCCTGATCACAGCTCGGCCATGAGCAAAGACAAAGGTGTCGGATATCCGATATCGGATATTTTATAGCAAGACAGCACTCACTATAAGTAGATACATATATCTAAGTTTTTTGCTGATAGCTATAGGCTGCTTTTACTTCAAAATTGTATTTTTTTTTTGTTGAAAAATGTATTTAAATTTTCTCAACAATGAACGCTTCCAAACTTTTTCTTGTGTTGTATAAAGTTTATTGAAAGCTTTTGGAGTTACCCTATCCTGTGTGTTAATTCTAGTGTTAGTTCTAGTGTGTGTTAGTTCTAGTGATATACATATAATTTTTTTTTCAAGTATTTTATTGCCAAGTCAAGCACAAAAAACATCAGCACAAACTGATGTATGTAATATTATTAGTCTATCAATACACAAGCATACTCTAATATTAAAGAAGTAACTTGTGATTGTAAATAAATACACAATATATACTAGTCTATATCTATATCTATACTAACATTATAAATGCGAAAGTTTCTCTGGATGTCTGTCTTTTCTTCAAGCCTAATTTAAACTACTGAACCGATTTCTGTAAAATTTGGTACTTACAGACATAGTCTGGAACTCGAGAAAGGACATAGGATAGTTTTATTTATAGCAAAAATCTGCAGGAAGTCGCTATTTTACGCGAACGGAGTCGCGGGCAAAAGCTAGTAATTAACTACATTGATGACACATAGACATTCTCTTTGTTTTTATTTTACATTCTTAGATATTAAAAATGGCATACACTTTTTGTAAAGTACATCATCAATCAGAATAACTTTCGCACCACAAGCCAGCAAGGACAGTGACATTTGATAAAGTCCCATTGATGTCTGCCTGATTTGGAATTCTGCTTGAGAAATCTGTGGGCCACCACGCTAATTTACGGATCCACTCAAAATACTATATTTAAAATACTCTCGCTTCATTCTCCAACTCAGTCACCCATTCCACCATGTGCAAACGGCCATTAAAATTTAAATTGAACATCACTATTTTGGAAGGAAAACATGACAGTTGTCAAAATAGAGCTGAGCTCATTGCGATCACAATGGATTTCCGATTGCGGCTCGCGCCCGATACATTATGCAACCTAGTGTTTTTCAATGGGCACTCGCCAAGTCGCTTCAGTGACGAGTGACGTGAAATTAACTTTTTTTTTACTAGACGCAAAGCGAAATTACTAATGTTGTACAAGTTTCTTGTAGTTCATTGAAGTTCATGTGGCGCAAATTTAGTTTTAATAAAATTATCGAATTATTCGAGTACACAAGAAATATACTTGACAAAAACATTTAAATTATTTGCAATAAAAAAGAGTTTAAAAAATGAAGATTAATCAACCCCCCTATAATGCACACGAAAGGTATCATTCTATGTAGAAAGTTATTAAATATCCTCGCAGTACATAATACCTATTGTTGAGAGATAATTTTAACCCATAATCTGTATTGAAAAGCGGCAGAGCATAGATTCAATCCATTGGACTGAACACAGGTATCGCATTAACGCACCTTTTTCATTTTCATAGGCATGGACTTTTCGCTAAAAATAAATGAAAATGGATTTTATTCAAGATTTGTAGACATAGGCCAACGAGCTATGTGAATGACTGATATTTTATTCAGCCTCCGATCAAAAACATTTTATTTTACAGGTTTTTATCAGCTACGAGTATATTTCCCGCTAGCTCTGCGCTTGAGTAAATTTTATTCTCAATTGCCTATTTCAATGGAAATTCCTTTCGCAGCTGCCGTGTCCATAAACTAGCTAAAATGATGTGCTAAATTTCAGCTTCATTGTCCAAGTAGAATTTAGTATAAAATCGAAGTCATTCTTTTTTATTGGTATACTGTGAACTGACTATACATAGTAGGTGGAAACATAAGTAAAATGTATCGTTAAAAATAAATATGAAAAATAAATATGCAAGACCACGACGAAAATTCGAGAGACACGCAAAAAATCAAATAAGCACACGTACGCTCTGTCTAGCCAATAGCCTGTAGAAATAAAAATTTCTTTTGATGTAAAAGCAAATACATCAAAGAATTATGGTTGAGTCTGCTACAATTTTGCATACAAACGAAATTGATGTCGCTGATATTTTTTATGAAAGCGAAATGAAGAGAAATGTTATAATTTGCGACTAACTCGAGTAGACAGGCAGACAGACAGTAGACAATGTCATCAACGGTATATCCGTTTAGCCTAAAAGGATAGAGCGGCGGATCAAGTGGGGAGCGGTGCTATGAGGCACGGTACGGTACGACACGGCAACAGACTTCCTGACTACGTATCGTCACATAGTTCGGGTACGTCGCGCAATTGCAAGGATACGTGACAAGAAAATTAATGCATCATAATTAGATCCGAGTGTCTTTAGACAGCCTGCCTACAGAGGAGAATAACTAATATACAATTAAATTACAAATTAAATTATCACTAAACTCCGTAGCGGCATGATTTCATTCAAATTCGACTCAAAACTTGTTAATGAGATTTATGTAATCCAATTCAGCGTTTGATTAAACGATAAAGAAGCAGCCCTGTTACTAAACAATCTCGATACGTAAAATATTTACAATACAAAATAAATTGATGTAAAGGTACACTCGGAAAATCAAAGTAAAGAAGGACGGTAAGTTGTACCGCAATCAATGTCTTACATTCCGTAAATCCCGACAAAGGAATTCCCTACACGAGAAATTCAATAGAGCCTTCGAAGAGAAATCGGCAAATTATTTCCGTAGATACACACGTTCCCGGAATTCACTGGTCCCAAATTATGATGTCTGAATAAACGTTGCCATTTTACTATAAGGGCTTGTTATGTAAAATCAACAACAAATGATAAATAAAGAAATACCTAACAGGTAATAAAATCACTTTAGCGACTAATTCATCATAGTTATTATCTTCCGCAAATTAAAAAAAAAAACTTTAAATGCCATCATTAATGAGTATCATGGCAACTGATAAAGAGTTCTATTCATCACCATCGATC